ATCTATCTATCTATCTATCTATCTATCTATCTATCTATCTATCTATCATCTATCTATCTATCTCTCTCTCTATCTATCTCTCTATCTCTATCTCTCTATCTCTCTCTCTCTATCTATCTATCTAATCTCGTGAAGTATTACTACCACCCTACAAAGCCTTAGTACGACCACACTTGGAATACTGCATTCAGTTTTGGTCACAATATAAAAAAATGGTTGAGACTCTGGAAAGTGTGCAGAGAAAAGCAACTAAGATGATTAGGAGGCTGGAGGCTAAAACATATGAAGAACGGTTGCAGTAATTGGATATGACCGGTCTAGTGAAAATAAGAACCAGGGGAGACCTGATAGCAGTCTTCCAATATTTGAAGGGCTGCCACGAAAATGAGGGCGGTTGAACTATTTTCCACAGCACCAGAAGGCACAATAAGAAACAATGGACGGAAACTGACCAAGAACGAAGGAGAAATTTCTTGACAGTTAGAACAATTAATCAATGGAACGACTTGCCTCCAGAATGCCCATGGAGATTTTCGGTGATACAGGTCATGGTTGACCCAAAAGTGCTTTTTCAAAAGGCAACTAGAATTTTGGCAACTGGTCCTCAAGGAAAAACAAAAGTCTAGTTGCCATATGAAATTGCCTCCAGAATTGGTGGGTACTGGAGGTTTTTAAGAAGAGATTGGACAATGATTTGTCTGAAATGGTATAGGGTTTCCTGCTTGACCAGCAGGTTGGACTAGAAAACCTTCAAGGTCCCTTCCAGCTCTGTTATTCTGCTTTCTGCCCTCCTAAAGGCCTTGAGATATTTGACCAGAATTTGTCTCCGAGAGAAAGCATGCTACTTTTTCGAACACCAGATGCAAACTTAGAATGCACTGGATGGGTTCACACAACATGTTAAACCCAGTTCGCCATCAACCCAGATCAGCAATCTTAGTAACTCATTCTCACTGGCTGAGTCAAAAGTCACTAACCTTGCCTCATGAAGTGATAGGGGCACCTAGATTTTTCCAGATAATACGTCTCATGCAGGAGTTGCATTAGTTATGGATATAATTCAAATTCTACCACATATATGGACAGGCGTTTTGACTCCAACTGCAGGCTTAAGAAAATTCTTCCCAACCCATCACCAAGCATCAAATGAGTAGTTTATACCTGATGTCATAATTGCTGTGCCACTGTCCTTGGGGTTGGTGATCACTATCATGCTATAAGAAAGAAAAATATCCATTACAACTCATTTTATGGCACGGATTTCAAACAGTGGCTTGTGATGCAGTCCTAGAACGGCGGTGGCAGTGGAGGAGGAGGAGGAGGAGGAGGAGGAGGAGGAGGAGGAGGAGGAG